GGGCGGCGGGGGGCACCTCCGGACACTGCGCGGGCGTGGGGGGGCAGCGCCTCCCCTCCCCACACACACACCGCCGGTCCGGGGCTGTTGTGCGGGACGGGACGGGCCCCGCCCCGGGGGGGGCGCGGGGGGACAGAGCGACATGGGCGGGGGCCCGCGGGCATGGGGGGCACCGCGCACCCCCCCAGCTAAGGGGGTCCCTGCACGGGGGGAGCGCCCTGCACGGGCCGGGGGGTCCCCGCGGGACCCACACCCCACGGCCGGGGACACCGGCAGGGCGGGCGGGGGGGCGCGGAGCCCCCGAAGGCGGCAGGGAGGGTCTGCCCCCCCCCCGGACACCCCGGGTGCCCCCAGGCACAGGGCCAGCCCCGCGGGGGCTCCCGGGCACTGGGGCCCATCTGTGCCCCCCATGGGGGAGAGGGACAAAAGCGGGGTGCCCCAAGGGGGGCTGGCTCGGGACCCGGGGGGGCGCGCGGCAGTGGAACAAAGGCCGYGGCCTCCCTTTGTGCAGCAGGGACGGCCAGGCTGGACACATCCCGGCTCGGGCGCCCCGGAGCACCGGGGGAAGGGGCCAGGAAGGGGCCGGGGGGGCGCCGGGGGGCGCCGGGGCGGGCGCGCGGCCCCCCGGGACGCGCAGCCACAGCCTCACTGCAAAGAGCCTTTATTGCGCGGGGCCGTTACCTGGCCGCGCGGCGCCGCTACCAGGCGCACAGCACCACCTCCCGCAGCGTCCGCCGCAGCTCCTGGCTCCGGAACGCGTAGATGAGCGGGTCCAGCACCGAGTTGCAGATGATGAGGATGAGGAAGAGGTTGAAGTAGCTGAAGAAGCAGGTGCAGAAGGGGTTGGTGGGGCAGCTGACGATGAGGATGAGGTGGAAGAAGAAGGGCCCCCAGCAGATGAAGAAGACGCCCAGCAGGATGGTGAGCGTCACGGCGCCCTTGAGGCTGCTGGTGCGGTACACGGTGGGCTTCTTCTGCTGGCTGGAGATGCTGCGGAGGTGGTGGCGGGCCAGGGCGAACATGTGGATGTAGAGCACCAGCATGAGCACCAGCATGAAGAGGAAGAAGCCGATGAGGCAGAGGAGGATGGCGTTGCTGCGGTAGTAGGTGATGAAGACGGTGCTGGAGACGGTGCTGGCCAGCCAGACGCTGGCCATGGTGACCACGGCGCGCTGCAGCGTCATGATGCTGTGGTAGCGCAGCGCGTAGAAGATGGTGATGTAGCGGTCCACAGCGATGACCCCCAGGAAGGAGAGTGAGGACACCACGGAGCTGCAGATGAGCATGTCGATGATGTTGTCCATGTGGCGGACGATGCTGGCGCTGATGACCAGCACGCCGTGCTCCATGAGCAGCATGAAGAGCGTCTCCACCAGGTTGCTGACGCTCACCAGCATGTCGGAGACGGCCAGGCAGCAGATGAAGTAGTACATGGGCGAGTGCAGGTTCCTGTTCTTGAGGATGGCGGCCACCACCAGCACGTTCTCCACCAGGCTCACRAGGCCCAGCGTGAGGAAGAGCTCGTTGGGGATGTCGGGGCCGTGGCAGCCGCCGCCGCCGCCGCCGCCCGTCGCGTTGCTGGCGTTGCCCTCGCTGGCGTTCCAGGGCTCGCGCAGCAGGCGCAGCGGGGCCAGCGTGGACATGGTGCCCGCCGGCCCCGCGCCCGCGCGCCCCGCGCTGCCAGCGCGCACCCACCACGGTGCCGCCGCCGCGCCGCGCCCCCCGCCGCCCTGGCCCCTCCAGCGGGACGCGCGGCTCCGTGGGGAAGAAAGGGCCCTTTCTCTGCCCTACTTTAAAGCGGCTCCGCGGCCCCTCCTCCGCAAGGGTGGGCACCCACATGACGGCCCCGCGCCCGAGGCAGCGCGGGCGGCCCAGGGCTGCCGGCACCCAGCGCCAGGCAGGAGCCCTGGGGGACCCCCGTGCGCGCTGGGGATCCCTCTGCACCCTGGGGTCCTGCTGGGGATCCCTCTGCACCCTGGGGTCCGCCGGGTACCCTGGGGTGCCCTATGTCCCCTGTGTGACCCATGCAGTCTGGGGGTTCCCATGCACCCACGGGGATCCCCATCAGCCCTGGAGTCCCTTGTACACTTTGGGGTCTCCTGTGCACCCTGGGGGCTCCTGTGCACCTTGAGGGTCCCTGTGCCCCCTGGCGTGCCTGTGTGCCTGGGGAGGGGGGACTCTGGGCACACCAGGGGCTCAGCAGGGCCGTGCAGGCGGCAGGTCCTTCATTACCTCGTGCCCAGGGCAGAGCTGGCAGCGCTCAGTCCGGCCCTGCGGACAGGGCACCAGCTCGACCCGCTCCGGGTGCTGACGGGCCCCGTGTCCTGTAAGGGCTCAGGTGGCCACAGCAGCATGTGGGGACAGTGTCACACGTGGGATGATCCTCAAAGGGATCCTCAAAGGCCCCGTTCTCCCTGGGAGAGGAGAGAGCTGCTGCCCTGTGGACCTGGGCCTTGCGGAGCGGCCCTCACCTCGGCTCCACAGGGAATCGTCCCGCGGCACCGGGACCCGTGGGTGGAGCGGGGGCACCGCGGCCGCCCGGGAACGCGCGGCTGCTGGAGCCACGCGGAGCACCCCACGTGCCGCCCGGAGCGCGCGGGGCCCGGGCTCCCCCTGGGCCGGTACCAGCGCAGGGCCCGTGACCGTCATGTGCCTGGGCTGCGCGTCGGAGCCTGCGGCTGCCAGGGAGCTGCTTGCGGCGCCGCACGAAGGCCCTTCCCGCTGCCCCCGTCCACCAAGGCGGCTCCGTGCCGGCCGGGCAGCCACGCGGGAAAGGACCTTGTCCCCTGGAGCGCGACCGGCCCCAGCTGCCCCCGCTGCCCTGTGCCCCGGGGCGCGGGGTGGATTTCAGCTCTCCCTGCTCCCCGAACGTGCCCAGGCTGCAGCTTCCGAGAGCGCAACGGAGYGGTGGCCGCGGCCTGGGGCGGACAGGGGGCTCAGCTCTTGTGGTGGGCTGTGCCGGGGCTGGGACGGAGCCCCCATTGCGCTGCTCAGGCCCCTAAGGCCTCCCCCGCTCCGGGCTCTCCCGGCCCTCGGCGGCTGGCTCAGCACCGAGCAGCCCTCGACACCGTTACGCAGCAGAAACACAAAAGCTTTTGCTCGTGGCTGCTGCCCGCAAGAGTTTTATTAGAGCTGACCTCATCCCTGGCTCGGCACCCTTTGGTGCCCTGYGCCAAGGCAGCAAAGCGAGGGAAAGGGAAGAGGGATGCTAGGGCTTAGCTCCAGCTTCTTCAGGTAGTACCTGTCCCCGTGCTGAGCCCTGTGCCGGGCCAAGAGGCACCTCTGCTGGGCAGAGCCCCATCCCAGCCCCAGGAAAGAGCACCCAGAGCAGCGCCCGTGGTCGAGGGGACTTTATTGGAGTGCGAGGAGCGCGAGCCGTGCTGCCACAGCGCCAGCTCAGTCCCAGTCCGCRTCGCCTTCGGGATTGTCGTCCCGCGGGGGCTCCTGAAACTGGATGTTCGCCAGCATGTCCCGCATGGCGGCCATGAGCCGGTTCACGCCCTGGTTCAGGTCCTGCCCTGCTCCGGCCTCTTCATCCCCATCATGCCTGATGTCGCCCTGCAAGAGAGCAGAGCCGCAGCTGCCTCTCGGCTGCAGACGGGCAACGCCGCCTGCCAGGGAGAACCAGGCTGTTCTGCAACCTGCCCTTGATGAGCTGCATATGCCAAGAGCCACTCCCTTTGCAGAAACGCTGTGCAGCAGACACTGCTGTCTCTATTCAAAGCAGCAGTGTGCTCAGATTTGCCAGCAGCAGCTTGCTGCACATACCTGCAAGTTAAAATTTGGCAACAGTGATCGGAAGAAGAGAGATAAAGTGCTTTCGTTGGATGGATGATTCGTCCTGAAAGAGAAAAGTCAGACAACACTGTTAAGTGGCAATATAATATTCGATCTGTGGCAGTAACATTTGTTCCTTTGGGCTGGGAGGCTGCCGAGACGCTGGCGAGGCCCTCGCTGCCACCACCAACCGACAGCGTCTCCCCAAGCCTGTCCGGGCAGTCAGGATCCCGAGGGAAGCTTGGGGGATGCTCAGGGAATTGCTTGCCCCGGGCAGGCAGCAGCTGGCCAGTGTGTGTCATTAAAGGCCCTAGCAGGTTTCCCTCAAGCAGGTCGGTGTGCAAGACACGCACCAGCTTCCCCTAGAGAGCCTCTGCACCCTGGCTGGCCACAACTGGATGTGCACTCTCCCGAAGCACCTCCTTTAGGAGATGCTCATGCCAGCCAACATTTTCAACAGCTTTTGTCTTAYGGGCTGTGAAGAGCTGCTGTCTGCAGCGGTGACCATGGGCTGTAAGCAGGAGCAGCAGGACCAGCCGTGCCCGCAGCGAGCGGCTCAGGCCAGGCCCTGCGCGGGAGCCAGCGCCGAAACGAGGGCTGCGGGACGCACCTTTCTGGCCTGGTGTAGGAAATGATGGAGTCCAAGGGAGGCAAGGGGTCAAACCCCATTACCGGCTGCGACGTCACCTCCTGCCGAGGACAGAAAGGAAGAGGTGATGGTTGTGCTGCCGCCAGCAGCAAGCACTGAGGCACGGGGACAGTCGGACACTCGGACAGGTTGAGCTGGGGCAGCACGAGCGAGACACAGCGACGTCCTCAACAGCCTCAGTGCCCTGTGTGCCGTAACCTGAGGTGTSCCAGGGAACGCCGCGAACACTGCAGGCACTGAGAGCTCACACGGACGTTTATTTTGGCACTGCCAGGATGCCTTTGTGCACGGCTACTCCCAAAAGCGGGATGGGAAACCTCTGGGGAAGATAAGCTGCTTGGGCGAACGAAACACGCCGAGTGAGACAAGCCGGTGCAGAACGGCTAAGCCTGGCACACGTTTTGGACCCGGCTCTCCCCTCTCGTCCTGCGCAGCGCAGCGCAGCCGCACCAGCGCTCCCAGCAACCCAGCACGGCCCCCTCGCCACCAGCAGCCTAAGGGCAGCACAAGGGGGCACAGCAGCAAGCTGAAATCCCCTCATCTGTGGGGTGCAAGGATGCTTTAAGCATGGCAAGACCTCTCTGTGCCCCGTGGGACAGCGGCTGTGGTTTAAGACATGCTCAGTGTTTGCATGCACCACAGGGAAGCAAGTGCCATGGGTGCCCTCACCAGCGGCAGGGCTGCTGTGGCTTCCTTCATCTCCGAGAGGATCACGTGCCGGTAGATATTCCTGGGCGCGCTCTGGTAGCGCATCTTCCTCCTAGGGCGGGAGGGAACACAGCATTTCTGCTCCGGGATCACACAGAATACCCCTCACCACAACAAACTTCCCATTTCTACTTCTCTAGGGGCTCTATCAGCTTCATCTGTGGTTCTGCTGGGACTCACCACATTGGAAAGAGCTGGTCTAATGCAAAGCCACAGTCGCTTAGCAGCTTCTTACCTCCAGATAAAAGAGCAGAACAGCCCAGAGACATTGCCAGGTGTCTCAGCACCTCTCTGCAGGCCAGCAGAGCAAAGTGACTTCAGTTCAGCTCTCCCTGCCGCCCTTTGCAGCTTCTCAGAGCTGCAAGTCGTCCTGAGCACCTGCCTGCCCTGCATGCTGAATGCCCTGGAGCCAGCGCCGTCACGGCCTGCCCCTCCCAGCCGCAGCTCCCTTCTCCCCTTCTCTTCTCCGCGCAGCAGCCGGGAACGCGGGAAGCTGCTGCAGGACCCGCTCCCCGCCAGGGAAGAGCTGCAGCTCTTCGCTCACCTTTGTGCAAAGCCAGGAAAACCCACAGCCCAGCCTTTAGCATCAGCAGCTCTGCGGCTCCGAGCCAGCACCAGAGTCACTGCTGTCCGGGAGGGAACTTTTCCCTCCCTGGCTGGTGTGTCCCAGGGTTTCTGCACCCCGTGCTGCACAAGAGTCTCATCTCTGCCTATTGCACTTACTTGTGCTCACACTCCTCCACCAGCGGGTCCCTGGCATCCACCTTGCCCAACACCTCGTGGACGTTGGTCTCCAGCCAAGCCATGACAGTGGGGTCCTTCCACAGGGAGTGGGTCCTTCCCACGTAGAGGGATGTCAGCTGGTTCAGGGCAGGGGGCTGGCTACAGGAGACAGTGATTATTGGGGGCCCCTTCCTACCTCCTGCCTGCAGGTACCTGTGCTGTCTGGAAAGGGCTCAACTCTGGGCCGTGCTTCAGTGTGAGAATAGGAAGAGAGGAATCACAGGCTCTCAGCGTGGCTATTTACATCTACCCCCACCAGTTTTTCTGCCTCTGTCTATTTTTGGGACAAGCAAGGCCATAAGATGAAAGTTCTATGGTCTTTACCCCAGGGGGAGGCCATTCATGTGTTTACAGCACCACGTGTCAGGGAAACCCAGACTGGCAGGAGACAGCCTGCCCCCAAAGCATGCACACGCCGTTCTCCTCCTGCGTGTATCAACAAGCTGCTGGATGGACTTCTGACCCATCTGCATTAAGGTGAGGCAGGTCTATTAGACTGATCTGTGGCTTTTATGGGAATCCATTATCAAAGCATCAGAYGGCCTCTCAGCACGCCCTATCTGGAAAGGGCAGATATTCTCCACCACAGCTTATGACTCCATTAACTGCCTGAGCAAGCAAGAGCCTCATTACCAGAACTGATTCCTTCTATTTAACAAGAACACTGCCAGGTCTTACCTTATCTGAGCGTTCAGCCCAAAAAAGGGATGGGACGTGACCCTGGCATCCGCCTGCACACTGCAGTGATCCAACAGCGGCATCAGAACTGCAGGAGAAAGTCACAGAGCTGGTTTCCAGCAGCCTGCTGAGAAGCGCCACGGGAGCAGCCAGCCAAGCCTGCCAGGGCTGCAGAGAGCGGCCCCGCGCTGCGAGGACAAGCCTCCCAAGGCTGGGGACACTGAGCGAGAACCAGTGCCAGGAGGACACTGCCAGCTYCACAGCTGGCGCTTTTGCTGTGTTCAGTTCTCTGTGTGGATGATGGAAGCAGATCCCAAGGAAAAAAAAGAAAAAAGGGCTTTTTTCCCCCTCCTCCTGTGAAATAAGGTGCAATTCTTTGCAATTAATGCTGCTGGCCTTTGAACTTGAACAAGGGTTTATTTCAGGCACCATGACAAGCAGCAAAAAATGTTTTCAGCCAACACAAACTACAGCTCTGTTCAAAAACTGGCTGTTCCTGACTATAAAGCACCCCCTCTCTGGCACTCCATGTCCCCCYGGGCCTGGAGGGGCTGCATATCTCCTTTTAGGGCCAGGAGCCCTAACTGGATAAAAGCAAGAGTGATGGGCACTCACACAGACCACATCTAAAGCCCAGCAGTGCCTCGGAGGGAGAGCTGAGAGAGCCTGGCTGTCTGTGCGCCGAGGAGCCCTGYGGTGAAGCGCTTCCTGCTGCAAGACTGCAGTTCTCAGCCTCCCCCAACTCACGAGCCCGTGACTCTCTTCAGGGAAGGGACATCAGCTGCTCGGACGGGAGGGCGGGCAGCACAGAGAGCAGTCACGGATCTCTCCCTGTGCATGGCAGCTCATGCAGGGTCGGCCCTACCCGATTCCCTTGCTCGTTTGCTCTGAGCCTTCAGGAGGGCTCAACCAAACTGCTGCCTGCAGCAGCTGCAGGTACAACTTGGGCTCTGCCCTGTGCCACCCCCCCGAGCTGGGGCTCCTGTCTCGAACACACTCTCGCAATCACCATTTGCAACCCCTGGGCCAACTGCTGCTGCTGCTGGCGACTGCCTGGAACCCTCATCTGCTTTTGCAGGTGAAGCCAGTGACAAAGCCGGTGGGGACAGACTTACCGGTGGGGACAGACTTACCGCTTGGGAACATGATGAGTGCAAGCTGGATGAGCCGGGCAGCTCTCTCCCGGGCTTGGCTTAGCTCCAGCTCCGAGCGCTCCTCCTGCTGGCTCAGGAAGAAATAGGCCAGCGGAACCGAGAAGGCAAAATTGGGGAGCTGGGATAAATTCCGGTGACTCTGCAGGATTGGAGGGAGACGTTTAGTGAGAAAGGGAGACATGCAGAGCGATCTCAGCGTGGCTGAGCTGTATGTATGTGGTGTGGGATTTCCTGCTTAGTGGAGTAAGTTACTTCACAGCTTCTGGCTTGGCTTGGGCAAGCCTCCCCTAAGCGAGAAAGCAATTTTGAGCTTATACAACTGTTTATAAGGTGCTAGGATTACAAGACAACAAGCACCCTAGCTTTTATGGGTCATTGTGATGACTTCGGGGTGCCAGCCTGCCCCTGAGACTGCCCCCAAAGGGCTGTTTTGAAAACCACATTGCAACACAGCTCAGAAGGTCTATTTTGGAGAGAAACTGCAGGCGTAATTTTACACAGCTCTACAGATACAAGTGTTTGTCTTTTCATGCTCCACGGCACAGCTTCCCCCCTCTTCAGCCCATCTGACACGGCGAGAGCCCAGTGAAGAGCTCCGAGTCTCTCGCCAGGGTGGCCTGGTGGCAACTCACCTCCCACTCCTGGAACATGCGTGTCAGGAAGCCGTATTCCCTGGCTCGAAGGGACAGAAAATCAATCAGCAGCAGGACACACAGCGGGTCGTTCTCYGGATCAAGGCTTTGGAGAGAGGAGAGCACAACGGGAAGAACCAAGTAAGTGCTACAAAAGCTAAAGGAGCTTCTCCTAAGGCAAACAAGGCTTTCCCACTAGCACCCAGAAAGCTCCCATGACTTGGCAAATGGAGATGAGGAGACAAAAATCACCCCAACATGGCCAGGAGGGCTGTGCCTGCCCCTCCTGCGTCCACATTCCTGCAGAACGGAGATGGCCTCTCCATGGAATCACCCAGGAGGAGGAAGGGCCACACAAGCACTGCAGGCYGAGGCCACCGCTGCACGTAGGCTCTGCAAAGCCTTGGGGCTCTGCAAGGCCCTTCTTGGCTCAAGCCCGCAGCTCAGCAGCAGGGAGGAGCTCCCTTCTTGCAGGAAGCACGGATGCAGCGCTCCTCTGGGGTCTTTACCTCAGAATCAGCTTGCAGAACTCCAGGGCTGTCCGAGGACAGCCTCTCTTCTCCAGGAACATCAGGTGTTTGAAGAGAGCCAGGTAGAAAGCTCTGCGCAGASAGAATAAGAACAGGCTTTAGGAGCCAAATTTAGAAAAGAGCATCTCATTTCACTCAAGGTTAGAGACCCACTCAGCCTGAATGCCTCCTCCTTCAGATACTAATGCAGCTGTGCAGCCAAGGCGGGTCCAGGAAACCCATCCTAGTGCTTCAACACAGAGTACCAGAGACCTCTGCACAGGAGGMTCCAGATTCTCATCTCACACTGCTCATCCTCCTGCCACCCTACAAGCAAGGAGAGGACAAATCTGGGGCCTATTTCACCTCTGCTCCCCAAGGCCCCGTAGCCTGGGGACCTCGGCTACGGAACATCAGAACATCAGCACCAGAACAAAAGAAGTCAGTAAATAAGCTTGGCTTAGCACAACCATGCCTCAGCCTTTGTGTGAGGGGCCAGTGGCACAGCGTGCACATGAGCAGATGGTGGGAAGGACCCATCCCACACGGGTAAGGTGCAGAGCAGAGCGTTCAGCTAACAGACAGCGCGAGGTCCATCAGCATGCGGGACCTGGAAACCTGAGCAAGCTCAAGGCATCGAGATTTGGGAAGAGATTACTTGGGTCAGCTGACTGGAAAATTCCCAGCATAAAGTCACCTTTCTCCGCAGCTGCAAAACTGTCAATATTATATAAACAGCCAGGCCTAGATAAGTGCAAGTGCCGGGAACAAGGGCCAAGCAGAGAGCACACAGGAGACTGAACACAGACTTAAATTCACAGCGAGTATTTCTGTGACAAAAACAAGTGCCTTTTTGCAGTAATAGGCAATAAATGTACTGAAAAGGACACTGACAGGGAGGGAAAGCTAATGCTCAGAACAGAAATCCCTCAGGGAAGAAGGTACTTTACAGAAAATCCGTCTGCCTCAGTGTAAGTGACCTGGCAGAGCAAGAGCTGCTGGTGTCTCGGCTCCCTGCGCCCTTCTCGCAGCACTGCCTGCGTCTACAGATGTTTTGCCTTTGTCCCTCGTGCCAAGGGACAAAGCTGCCATCGACTGCTGAGTGGTACAGCTTATTCCAACAGGAAGGGGAGCCCGAGGTCCCCAGGCACCGCTCGCCAGTGTGGCTGCCGCAGCAGGCACTGCAGATCTGGGTCTTGGCGCCCAAAGGAGCCACCAGCAAGGGGCTGCTGGCAGGGGCACCTACCTGTTCTCGGGGCGCCGGTAGTCGAGGCGGCAGCTTCCGCTGGTGAGGCTGAACACGGGGTGAAAGGCGCACTCCAGGCTGTACAGAGCCCTCTCTGCGCAGAGCACAGGCACCGTCACGGCACGCGCACGGCACCGCACACGCCCCCTGCTCAAATTSGCCTGGACATCGATCATTATTAATTAACTTCTTTCACTTGTTTTAAAGGTGGAAGTCAAYGTGCTTTGCCAGACAAGTATGTTGGATACCCTTTGCCCCCAAACCTCCAGCTAATGGTGCTACTCTCAAGGATGAAGTTTCATCTTCATGTGAGGAAGAACTTCTTTCTGTGATGGTGACAGAGCCCTGGCACAGGCTGCCCAGGAAGGCTGTGGGGTCTCCTTCTCTGGAGATCTTCAAAACCCACTCGGATGCCACCCCATACCCTGTGTTCTTGGTGTCCCTGCTGGAGCAGGAAGGTTGGACTAGATGATCCCTAGAGGTCCCTTCCAACCTCAGCCATTCTGGGATTCTGTGACGGCACGAGGCTAGGTGCTCACAGCCACAAAGTCACAAACACAGGGCTGAACAGACCTTTCTCGTTTGCCATTTCTTTGTTGAAACGGGAGCAGAAGTGAAGCACAGCTACTCGCACATCCTGCTCGCTGCAGCTCTTACCTATGAGGTCGCGGGCCATCTCCTGGTCCTCCTGCATGCGGCACACGTCGCTGAGCTGCAGCAGCGAGTCCACGTGGTAGGGGTTCATCTGCAGCAAGAGCTACGGAAGAGCAGCAGCTCGGTTACCCACCGACACGAATCACTGGTTTCTCGTGCCTCTGGGTCTGGAGGCAARGGAATCCTGTTCCACATCATCAGGGAGCTCATGCTAATACTATAGCTCAAGGCTGGGCTACACCTCATTTGTAAAGCTAAAATTGCAGATTAAAACGACAAGAACAACCACACCGGCTCAGACTACAGGTCCATCTTGCCTAGCACCCTGTCTCCAGAAGCAGAAGCCTGGGAAAGAGGGCAAGAAACAGGAAAATGCATCGAGTGCCAGCACACTCTCTAGGCTGCCAACCATCAGGGTCCAGGGACTCCCACTGCCAGAGAGGCCGTCTTAGATCAGCTGCCCTCAGAGGAGTTTCCCCTCGTGAGTGTGTTCCCTTACTGGCCCTGCTAACTTGTCTGTACTCACTTTCTGTGTGCCTATCTACAGCTTAAACACTCCCTGCAAACAACGTCCTTTGGTCTGAGTCTGCCAGCTGCGTCCTGCTGTTAGAAAGGACAGCAAGGAGATCCCTCCCCACCYTGTGCAGGATTTGGAACCTCTCTTGCAGCTTCCCTCCAGCACATCCTTCCAAAGGGAGGCCCAGCCAACCCCGCTTTTCCAGCGCAGAGCTTTTGATCATCCTTTCTGTCCTTGTTCTCCTCCATCCTTTTGAACACGACATGCACAGAATAGTCCAGATTCAGCCACCAGGTATAACTACTATTTTGTTTTGTTCCCTACCCCTTCCTAATGATCTTAACATTTGGTTAGGCTTTTGCTCTCCTCTGGGCCCTGAGAGGATGTTTTCACACATTTATTAAAATTTCAGGCCCTTAATGGTAATGGAAATATTTTTTTTCCAGGCTTCTGAACACAAGAAGTGTAAGTTTAACTATGCCTCAAAGAACTCTTCATTCACTAATTATATGATACACTCCCTACTTTTACTAAGTACCTAAAACTCAGGTTGAGCATGAAAATACTGAAGTTGCCTCAAAACTCCTCAATGTCTACTTTTCTTTCCTTAGCCAAAATGAAAAATCTGTSTTCAAAAATTCACCAGAGTGAAGGCCCGTGTTTCCAGCTCCAGCACARGCCCTGACGTTCGGGGCTGCTCTGGCCAGTGCCTTTGCCTCGCTGCCTCTTGCCTGACATTTTGCCTCCCTCATTGCTTTCTCCAGGTTCCCATCTAGTCCTTCTTCTCAGATGGGATGGAACATCCAGCCTCATAGTGATGGAAAAAAAGCACTTAGTAATAAGCACTCAAGGCTTTAGCAACAAGCGCCTTCCAACCCACTGACAAAAAGCAAGAGAAAAGAAATTACTAAGCAGGACCATGAAAAAATGTTTTGTATTTTGCCCCCAACTGTAGCAGCAAAGCAAAGGGAGGCTCAGGTTACATAGAGATCACAGCTGTCACAAGTAAATTGCTGGAGATTTTGAAGTACTTCTGCCATCAACAAACCCTTGTCTGTTAGATTTTACCCTTGAAAGAAAAGTGAGAGCCTGAAGCTGTAGGGACATCTTTCAACACAGCCAGGCCACTCAATAGAGATGGAGCAGAAGGTCTGGAACGCATCAAACACAACCTGTTTGCACATCCATACGAGTCAAGTACCTCTGCATATCCATACATTGAGCACTTCTGCACAGGAACCTACACATCACTGAATATGAATTCTGCACTCTAATTACCAGCAGAACCAACGAGTCAAGAGCAAAGTGGCTATGAGAGGAGGGTGGGAAAGCAAGAKGAAGTAAACTTTATTGAGTGGACAACGGCCTCTTTAAGAAACCCCTCCAGTGCATGCATCTGAGCTCACGTGGCCAGCATTTTCAGAGCAAAAATACCACAATTATGGTTCAGTAGGGTGCAGAGCAATTTCACTGTTGCTTATCATTACAAACTACAAATGTTACCATACAGTTTAATGAGCTTGGACATGCTTGAAGAACTTTCATCACAAAGACCGTTTTGCTGAAATATCAGGAAAAGACACATTTTTCATCTATGTAAGAACTTATAAATAGAACAACTGTTAGTTTAGATTGCCTGCTAAAGAMCAGTTTATACAATATTTTTCCTTTCCCAGCTGAAGAGTCGAGACAAGGAMGCTTTATTCCTCCCTAGCCCTCCAGGCAAATGTGTAGTTCCTACAGGCTCCTCTTCCACATGGCTTCCTGACATGATCTCTGGGCAGAGCCACAAGGCTCCGTCACCAGGGACTCAATCTCAAGGTGACACTTAAGTCACTTGTAATATTTAAAGGTGAAAGCAGAGCTCGGCAACCTGCCTTGCCCCACACAGACCTGCATATCCTACTGCTCAAAACAAGACTGTCAAAAAATGAGCATGAGAAAGCATCGGCCCTTGCCCGCTGCAGAGAGGGGCTGCAGGAAGCACAGGACGGAACCRCATCCCACTTCCACAACATACCACAATGTTGTTGGGATCCATGGACTCCACRGCATCCAGGAACTTGAACTGCACTTGCTGGTACTCGCGGTGGTGCTCGAACGTGAAGTACTGCACTCCCCTCCTGGTCTCCACCAGCTGCATGGCAATACCTAGAGCACAGACACGGCTACCRCTGCTGCAGCCTGGGAGCACAACGGTTGTGAAAACACAGAAAACTTGTTCACATCCCTGGGTCCAAAGACAGACGTATTCAGAATTCCCTGAGACTTCCACTCCTGTTCTCCCTCCTACAAAGTGGAGTCCCAAACCCATTCCAAAAGCCCAGACAAGTTATTCTTTCCCCTCATCGCACTCATCCCGATGGCTGTGCGAAGGGAAGCACACATCACCTGCAAACTCCAAGAGCAGAAGAGAAACAACAAAAAAAAACCCTCAACCACTAAGTTACACCAGAAAGTCCTTCTCCCCATTGACACAGGAGGTATTTGCACGAGCAGACACGCAGTTCGGTTCCTGCACCAGCCAGCACAAAGCCTGGGCCTGGCAGCTGATGCAAGCAGCTCTGGTTCTGGGCACAGGGCTCAGAAGAGCCCGGCTGGCGGCGCGGGAAGGAGGTGCCCRTGGGCGAGCGGGACGCGGCGCCGCAGCCCTCACCTGTTTTGCTGTAGCGAGGCCAGGTGTTCTTGGGAGCCGTGAGCCACGTGCTGCGGACGTACTGGCGCTGCCTTTGCCTCGGCCTAAGGAACAAACGCGGCGGCKCGTGGCGCTCCGCACCCACACAACAAGCAGGGATAAAACGCAGCCAGAAAAGGGGATGGTTTGAGTAAAACTGCTTCTTCAGCTGAAGGTGGGCCACATGGAGCTTTTGGACAGTTTTATCATATCTGCCTTCCAGGCACTACATACCTTCACTTAAGCCTTCCTTACTGTAAGCATTCCTCCTTGGGCCAGCCGGTGCCTCCAGCACTTCCTCTTCAATAACTTCTTTCCCCTACTTTTACTTCTGCCAAGTTCAACTGCTGCTTTGCCTCAAACAGCTTCCCGGGACAAATTAAAGGGCCCTTCCCAGCCAGGAGGGACCTTCAAATGTCAACTGGTTCAGCTTAAGCTATACTCACAGGTTCAACCAACGTACTGGTTCGGAGCAAGAGGCACTCATAAACCAAGACTACTTATTAAGCCACACACTCCCTAGGCAAGGGACTACTCCTTCTTCCTCATGCACTAGATACTGCCTCTCATTTTAATCTCTCCTTGAAGGAGCCTAACTCTTCCACAGACCCAGGCAGCAGTGAATTCCTTGGGTCTTTGTAAGCAAGTGCACAAGACCCCCAGGAAAGCACTCATGTCGCACTGCACAGAATATCTGAGATTTGGGAACAGCAACAAATGTCAAGTGCTGGAGAAAGAAATATCTAACCATCAACTTTCTACGTTTTTGAATTAAAGGACTTTAGAAGGGCATTTAACAATACTGAGAAGGACTAATGACCTGTGGTGTCATGATACTGGGGAAGGGCAAACTCATCGCCTCAGACTTTGAAAAGATTTGGTATTAAATTGTGGACTAACCTCTGATCACCAAGAACTGCCCGAGCCCCGAAGTATCTCTTCAGCTCATTCTCTGGATTCAAGTTTCTGAAAAGTTGAAACAAGAGAAAAAAAACACCCTTGGTTAAACACCCACAAAAGTCTTCCGATGTCTTTTGATGTCAAACTCCATCCCATTTCATCAACACCAAGTATCCCGTACCTTGGAAGTGCTTTGGAATCCCCTGAACTGTCAAGACACACCACTGAAAGGACACTAAAAAGCAGTGGTCAGCACAGAAGGCATTCAACCCCCCACCCACCCAGATGTGTGCTTTCTTTGTGCTCCACTCCAAGGACGGTGCTGAGCTAGGAATACCTCTACTGCCATCTCCAGGGCACCTGGRGCCTTCATCTGGGACATGCCCATGGACGGGCTCCTTTCGGGAATGAGGGCTTGGGGATTTGTGTGTGGAAGACAAAAGGTATCTGCTGCTGAGAGCCCAGCAACGACAACGTGCAAYGTAGGGCAAGCACCTTAACCACTGTAGAAAGGCTGGGAAGGAATAAAATGCATTTTTTAAAAACAGAGGCCTTATGTCAAAGTATGAAGCCTACAGCTTCTTGATCTAATGCTCGGCCCAGAGATGTGAGAAATGTTTAAGAGAGGTTTCCCTCTGCTGAAAAAAGAGAGGAGGCAGGAAGGCAGTGCCCAGCACTGCCAATCCTCAACTGCTCCGAGATTAACCATTTTTCAAGGGTTTATAACTCATGTTTATTTGGCCCGAGAGGCCCCTGGAGTTAAAAGCATCTCTAGGTAAGCAAACATTCCTCCCTTTATTGAAACCCCCTGAACAGGCTGAAGAGCAGTGAGTGCCCACCGGGCTAGACTCAGTTTTGATGCAGTGGGATTGGAGGGTTCCAAACCTGGACTGACAAGYTGTCCCAGCCTACAAACGCGTTCGCTGTTCCCAAAACAGGCAGAGCTGCCAGCCTCTGTGCCAGGCCAGGGCTCAGCAACCGGCTGGACCCAACAACTGGCCCATTCAAACCGGTTTCAGTGGATTATACGCCCAGATGTGACCTATCTCTAGTCTGAGGCCAGGTCATTCGCTGCACTTGGCATTTAGTCTGTTTCTGTTGATGGCCACATGTGCAAAAGCTTAGACAAGTCTGACCAGCTTTCCTGGTAAAAYAGCTCCGGGCATGGCTTAGCCCTCTCTAGATGCCAGCACATGCAGAATTGGAGCCTGCTGCCCACAGAGCTGGGCGGATTGCAGGGAGATAACTGACCAGGTTACCTTGATTTCAAAGCTTTAGGTACCAACGCTTTCAGCTGCTTTGTAGAGATTCTTCTATGAATAATCACAGAATATTTTATGCTGGAAGGAACCCTCGAGATTGCTCTGGTGCAATTACCCATTCAAACCAGATACAGGAGCAGAAAACACCAGGCAGCATTAAAAATTGAACAAGTTAGAAATGGGACTGCCCTCACAACCTATCACTAGCCCTTCCAGGCAAGGTCCTGGACTCCTAGCCAGGTGGTCCTGGCAGGTTCCTATCTCCCTTCGTGCAGAACAGATGTCCCTGGCACATCCAAGGCCAAAACGAGGAAGCAAGGCAAGCACTACCTGTGCTCTACGTAGAGCAGAGGCCTGCTGTCTGCAATGACTCCGCTCTGGGTTTGTGGYGACAGCCCATTGCTATCCTCGATCTTCTCCAGAAGGCTGTCGATGTCTTCCAGGTCATTGTCTTCCTTAAGACAGCCACATGCAAAGACAACGGAATTGTTATGGAATGAGTCATTGCTGCACACAGGTCACCCAGGAGGGATCACACCCAGGTCACCCRGAAGGGATCACACCCAGCTGCCCTCAAACCCTTTCACTTGTCCTGATCCTAGKAGACTTGGTACCTAAATCATCAGTCTTCACTGCCTGCTTCCCCAAGAAGTACTGAGTTACTGCTTTTAAATCCTTGTGCTTTTAACTCAGCTTTAATGTCACACACAGCCACTTTCCCAGATGGATGGGGTATACTCTCCTGATTATCAGCAATACACATTAAACAGCTGTACGATACTTTTACTCCTATTTTTCTTCCCCTCCTCTCCCCACAAATGGCAAGTGATGCATTTCTTATGCAGTCAATTAACTTTCTCCTCATGATGTGCGTGGGTGGAATGTAGAATTCCATTCAAAACACAAAAACAGCATTCTGAGGTTGCCTTTATTAGCTAAATATAGCTACACTGTGTGTAGCGGATACGTAAAAAAAGTTAATGCGTTCTGCATTTAAGCAATTTAAGTGCATTTAAGAACAAAGCTAGTATTATTTCTAGTTACCAAACGGCCTGTCTCTGAGGATTAAGCCTGCCCAGAGCTTAGAGCCGGCAGATGTCATCTCCTGCTCACGATACTCGGGCTGGGAGAAGCAGCAGGCTCTTCTCCACGGCCTCGCTGATGGGTTCCTCAGCTTCAGCAACCAGTTCCTGAACTTCCCTGGTGAATTCCCTGGCAGGAGGCAGCCAGYCTGGCACTGGCACCGGCAGCACCAAGCACAGCAGCCAGCTCGGTCTTGCGGCACGTCGTGACTCAGGAGGGTTTGCAAGGGATTTACCCCAAGTGAACAGCTAAGACGTTTAAATCTTAGCAGGAGGTATTTCACTTTAGTAATTTTACTTCTGTTGAATTTAAATGATTAATGACTGCAACATATTTAGTTGCCTGGACTATATGAAGTATGTAAAATACACTTCAATATAAAAATGTCACTTATAAGTTAACCCAAAAGAAGCACAGACACTGGGTGAGGCTTTGAGCCCTCTTCAAGCACTCTTCATTAGGAGCAGACCGCTTAGCCACAGCAGATCAGTCCCCCATGTCCAATCCACCACTGAAAGGAGGGGAACAAGTGGCAACGGGAGAGCGCTTGGCCACGTGTTTGCTGTAACGCAGGTGGCACTGGCAGATGCTCTTGTCAGCATCTGGTTATTAGATGTCAAAGCACAGGGAGGAAGGCGCGTTGCTGCGCACGAAGGAGCGGGCAAAGCTAACGTGACTCGTTGCTCATCGACAGCAAGGGCTGTGTCTGGTTCTGCAGAGCTGGGAGAGCTGCCTATGTAGGGCAAGCAAAGTAAACTGAGAATGCAAAAACCCTCCCAAAGAGCTTCCTCCTGCACGGAGCCTCAAAGCAGAGATGAAAGATGCTGCTGCTGTGAGGATTCCAGCTCCAACCATCTGCGGCAGAGCTGAGCGAGTCCCACCTGCTTGAAGGACTATAATCAAAAGCTGTTGTTGTCATTTAATAATTTTAAAGGAACACTATGTAAAAGGGATATTTTTTGCCGCAAACTACTTTCTATTACCAGATGAGTGTTGATATTTTGTCAATCCCAGTGCAGAAATTAGCAGGGCTGCTAAATCACGGAACAGATGCAGACATACCAGAGCATCKCCTGCTGAAGCTTTCTTGGTTTTCCTTTTCTTTTTTTTCTTTCGTGGCTTGTTACTTGACATAGACTGCAAAGATAAATGAAACAACTGCATGAGAGAGCGCACCTCCATACAATGCAGTGAGGAATGCTGCAAGGGGAAGAAGTGTGTGTCCATGGGGATCAGTCCCTCAGAYTAAGCCCATATTCATCCTTTCATGTTTGCCAGCAAGCAGAAACCAAGACATAAGAAGCAGAGGAAAGCATCAAATATTCACAAATATAAGGGTTAAGAGAACCGCGTAAGTGTCTAAGACTACAGAATCAGTAAAGAAAGTTYTTCCAAATATGATATATCTAAAATGTCTCATCCTTCTGCCCCCAAGCACAAACTGGTATCTGTCTTTCCCATAAGCMAGACAGTTTCAGTGTCCCTCTGGCTGCCACAGAAACTTGCAGCTGCCTGAAAGCACCGCACAGCACCGGCTCCGCTCGCGCAGACGCGACTGCTTCAGCTCGACAGCCTGCACCGTCCCCCGACCTGACGCGCTGTGATCTGCACGAGCCCTTCTTCAAGGCATACGCAGCTAAAAAGCCCATTTCTAGGGCTGCCAACCCTGCAGAGATAACATATCCCAGAAGTAATAGCTTTAGAGCCGTACAATTATGGCTCTAAAGCTCCTCTGTTGCCTTCAGAACCAGGGCAAAATGCAGCCCCAATTCAGCTCTAACACATGACAGGGAGGCACATGCTGAGGGCTCCAGCATGATCCTGGCCCAGTCACTTTGCTGCATAAGAACATCTACCTGGGAAACTCTACATGGGAAGGCTCTTAAWTTTTTTTTTTTCAGCTAAGCTACTGGGCCAGGGCAGACTACACCAAGGGCTCTTAGCAGAAAATGACAACAAAATACTGTAAAAAAGAAGTTTGGTGTTTAATTTACATTGTTCGGGTTGTTCACGTCATTTTCTCCAAAATAAACGCTTCTGTGAACATTGACCGAGAGCCCAGGCCTGGGCACAGCGCAGGGGACACGGGTTGTGCAAGCTCCCTAGCAGGGTCCCAGGGCCGCCTTCCTTCCCGCACGCTTTGCATAACCCCACGGGCAGCCAAAGCAGCACAAGGYCTCGCTCAGGGAGACGTCCTAGGAACTCCGCAGCTGTAAAGGTCCTGCCCGTGGATCCCGGCCAGAAAACCCTGCACGTTTCCCAACACAACCCTCAGCACCACAGCGTGGATTGTGCCCCAGGCCTAGAGCCTGCGGCGACAGCCTGCTCAGATCACCCAGCGACTTGGAATAAGGACAAAAGGAACATGAAGTCAGTCCGTCACCTTTCCGCGTTCTCCGAGGCCAAACTTCAGCTGGTGAGCAGGCTCACTACCTCCTGGTTAACAGGGGCATTAACTCAGCAAGGAAGGAGCTGTGCCACAAACAGGGATTACAGACAGCTGCGCTCCTGAACAAACACTAACAGGCACCTACTTATTACTTATCAATAAGCTCCCCGCATGCGTCCCTGCCATTGGTGCTCATGTTCATAGCGTGCCCTAAAACCACCCAGAGGGATCAGGAACACTTCTCTGTCACTAACACAAAGCTGCTCAGCCCAAACTCAGGTAGGAAAATAGACGTGACAGCTCCGCTCCCATAGCTCATGTGGCGTGGAAACCAGATAACTGCGATTTAAGTTACCGTTTGGTCCTGCTGATCTGCATCTTCTCCACTCCTCCGCCTGTCACCCTCWGTCCCTTCAGTTACAGGCACTGCACCCTTGCTTTCCACTACACCCTGCTCTCGGAGCCTGGCGTCTAGGCTCTCCTCTTTGAACGAAGGGTCCTCCTCCRATTCTTCATTGGTAATCTGTGCAAACAGAGGAGAAAGATGCAGAAACAGGAGGCGCGCGGGCAGCGCCTGCCCTCTCGTGCTGCCCGGAGGACGGGGCTTCACAGATCCCGTCTGCTCACATCTGGAAGGGACAAATCCCTGATGATGGCAGAGCAGGGCTCGCTCACCCGTGCCCTTTGCCAGAGTGGGGACAAGGGCTCATGAGGCACCAGGGACAAGCACAGCGGCYGGGAAAGGCAGCCCCATCCGCGCTCGGCTCCACTTGAACGGGAGTCCCAGCCYGGCTGTGGTGGCAGCCTCACGGCGCAGCCCAGGGACAGGCACCCTGTCCCTGCAGCCCGGCCCGGGCACGGGGAGCCCCACGGCCCTGCTTGGACACGGGCAGTCCTGCGGCCCGGCACACGCACGGGCAGGTATCGGCTGCCCGAGGGAACGGCCGGGCTGGCCAAGGCGCCCAGGGAAGAGACCCCGGAGCAGGACACGAGGGGTGCCCCCCAGGCTCCGCACCCCCAGCTCACAGCCACCCCGCGGCCTCCTCTCCAACACCCAGTCCCCCCTGTCCACCCCAGTACCTCCAGTCACTGCCCCATGACCCCCTTCCTCCCAGGGGCCCCCAACTGCCACCCYCATCCCAGACTCTCAGTGACACCCCCGTCTCTGTCCCCGGTCCCTCCCTGGGGTCCCTCACAAGAACCATCATCTCGGTCACCCCCCCGTACCCCGCAGYGCCACCTCCCCATCCACTGTCCCCCCAGGCCCGGCCCCTATTCGTGCCCCCAGCCGGTCCCTCCAGCCGCTGCCACCGGGCCGCTGCCCCCATCACCGCTGCAGTCCCTGCCACCCGCCACCCCTCCCTGTCACTGACACCCCAGCCCTTCCCGGTCACCCTCAGTGACCGTCCCCAGGGGCCCAGCCGCCTCCTCCCCGCCTGCCGCCGTCCCCGCCGCCCTCACCAGCTCGAAGCGGTTGCTG